ATGCTTTTACAAATCTAGGATGCTTTAAACGAGAATTTTTGACATAGAGACAAACATCATCAATGCAGAAAAATTAAAAAAAGTCAACCTTAGTAGTAAGTAAGGCAATATTATGGTGAATCTGATGTAAAAATCTGTTGCATGTCAGGTCAGGTTATCCAGGTTATACTGGTAACATGTAACCCAGTACAATCTGCTTCATGTCCTTCTGCATTGTAGAAAACGTTTTTTTAGGCAAAGGCTAAGAGAAGCCAACTCCGACGTAAAATACCCCTGTCTTGGGGCTCTTGGGTGAGTAAAGGCTAAAGATAGTGTCTAGATAAAAATACTCATCTTGGGCAGATGTTAAACGCATCCAGCTACTATCTTGAAGAAGGCCACCTAGACAAAGATTTAAGGGGTAAACATATTCTACCTGTTGACCAGCCTGGCACTGTTTCTTCATTTTTTAGGCTGGTGCAGATGTATTTTTAATAAATTGTTTCCAATTTAGGAGACAATGTATTAAAAATACATCAGTGTTGAATGCTGGATCTTCTTGACCCAATGCATGGGTTTTGCTAGTGTCTCTGTATTTATGGCTAGGCAACTCATTCTTTGAGACAATTACTTGGACTATTAAATAGTGTACTGAGTACTGCCTATGCTTTGAGTCAAGTTCATTAAAAAATTTAAAATGACAAAAGTACCAAAAACTATAAAACACAAAAAAACATTGTCATCACCATGTTCTCTAAACCTATCATTCACTAATATTCATGGTCTTCGAAGTAACTTTTCTTCTGTTGAGTCTTATCTCTTGCAAAGTTCACCAACCTACTTGCTCTTTGTGAGATTAAGTTCAGCTGTCTCATCTTGTGATCTAAGTGTTAATGGTTATCTTCCTTTAATTTGTAAAGACTCCAAAAGTCACATGCTTGGCCTGGGCACTTACATTAATTCAAGGAAATTAAAAAAGGAATCCCAGTCAGCCTTAATGGTAAGTAGGGTAATAATATTATGAATCCGTTGTAAAAGAATGACAAGATGAACATTTAGTGGGATAATCGCATATTTTTCAAGCAATACACAAAAAAATTAAACAAGACCAAAGGTGCGTTTGGAATCTTTACACAACATTTAAAACATGCACGTGGCAAATTCCTAACAGAGTGGCTAAGGAAATTTTTTAACTTTACTATTAACTAGGGTCAGGCCCCAAAATCGATGCTATATCACTTATTATGTCTATATCTCTTGCTAAATCTTATAAAAAATCATAACATAAATGATCCGAATAATAACAGTGGTATTAAAATCATTCTAAAAATTACAACTAATAGAATAACTTATTTTAATAATTTGTCCAGATATAAAAGAAACTCAATGTTTTCAATTTGGTTTGACAAAAAACTGCTCAACCTTACATGCCGAATTTGTTATAAGTGAAACAATAAAACATTACAACAACAACAATTCACCTGTCTTTCTCTGTTTCCTAGATACTGAAAAAGCATTTGACAGCTGTAGCTGGGACATTCTATTTGAGAAACTATATAACAATAAAAAATTACCGCTTTATATTATTAATACTATATCGTCATTGTACCATGAAAGCAGTGCTTCTGTCACTTTACTAGGATGCAAATCATATCCATTTTATCTAAAACAAGGAGTGAGACAAGGATTGATTCTTTCTCCTCACCTGTATAATATATATACTCAAAGTCTACTTGAAACCATACAAAATGAAAGTATCTTAGGGACATCAATTTATGGAAACTACACAGGTGTTGTAGCATACACTGATGACATCGTACTTCTTGGTTCTGCCCTGTCTGGGACTAAAAAGCTCATAGCAGCTTGTAATATATATACTAACGCAAATTGTATAAAGTTGAATGCTAATAAGACAGAGTCTTTGTTCACCAGAAAAAAACAAATTGCAAACTGCACGATAACAGTCAACAACAATATACTAACAAATAAAACTGGATGACTAAAATTATCTTCATTCTTCGTTTTACATCCGAGATGTATCAACAATCGTACAGCAAACAACGTAAACTTATTTATTCGTATATTGAACAATAAAGCAACCTTTGGTATTGAAAATTCGCAATGTAAAAACCAAACCGCTGAGCACCCTTTTTTAGATGCTGTCATAGGTTTATGCAATCAAAATGAACTAAATTTAGAGAACTAAATGCAAAACAAAAAGTAAAAATTATTGTGTTAAAAAATATAATTCCTAAAAAAGATCTTCAAAGGTCACACTATGCAATAAAGTTCTGGAACTCATTAGAACAAAAGAAAATCTTCAAAGATGTTCTTAAAGTAAATATTCCAAGATAAACTTATTTCTTTTCAAAAATGTAACTTTATAATAATTTATCTTGTATTGTATGTAATGGTTGAATAATAAACATAAATATAATATATTAAGAAATACCAAAAGCACAGCAAGGATTAACTGAACACAAGATATGATCAGAGACAAGACAAAAATCAAGTAGTGAAGGTAAGTGATTAGGGTTAATAATCAATTAAGAAGTCTTAAAGTGTCTCCCAGGTGACATTAAAACTTATTTAAGCACTGATATTATTGAAAAAGATGATCACAATGAAATAAATAATTTTCCTGTTAAATTTTTAAATAGTTTGACTCTATCAAGCATGGATATTCATTGCTTAAGTTAGAAAAGATATGAACAGATTTTTTAAATTTATATAGTTTTTACTAGTTTTATTCTTATAAGAAATTTGTTTATTAATAATACAAAAATGGACATAAAATGCTACTCGAAATAAAAAATGTCTCCAAACTCTTGAAAATGTTTTTAAAAATTGGTATGTTAAAACAAGTTAAAACATGTTAGAACTAAACTTAATCTAAACTTTATATTTTAGCCGATTTAAAGATGTAAAATTTCACAAGTTTAATACATTTTTAATTGCTGATCTTTTGTGGACCAAACTTTCAGTTGAACATTAAGTTAAAACAGTTCTCTTTCAAACTTATTTCTAGTAGTACATTCATTAAATTTTTTTAAGTTTTTCAGTTTATTCTAATAAAAATGTATAGACAAATTATTAGAATCTAAAATAAAATACTTTTATAAGTTATAACAAAATAAATTTCAATAATTAAATACTTTTGTAACAACTTGGCTAACTCTTGTAAAAATTTTTATTTTTAGATAAATTCAATTATTTAATTATTTGTCACAATTGAATTAATAAAGTTTTAATTGCCAATTATAAACTAATCACTTCTTATTAGTATAACTAACAACATTTAGTTTGAATTTTTTGTTAAACATAGAAAATAATGTTATGCATATAAAGATATTTTTTAAATTGAGTTTTCTTAACACAAAAAAACTTATCAGACTTTTCCAAGACATACATTTGATAAACAATGATATTACATTTATTGATTGTGAAAATTTTTGAAATATTTCAACTAGATTTAATTTCAGTTCTTATCCACAAATTTTAGGACGAATCCCAATTTAAAGAGAAGGTTCAGTGCATGTAAACAAATTTTAAATGTACTTTGAAACTATATTCATATTTATTTAACTAAAACGTTCAAAACTTTATCTTATGCTAACTGTAATTAAAAACAAAACTATATTACCCGGCAGGCATTTATCATAAATTGATTGTGCCATGCTTCCCATCGATTCTTTAGTTTTTTTACAAAATCCAATAGACGTCCTAGGAGGGGGGACTATTTAAAAAAAAAAAAAAAAAATTATTTAAAAAATGTTATCATTAAAGATATAAATTAAAAATAAATACATAAACTTAAATAAAATATTTTATATATTATTATCAAGTCATTTAAAAGTTTAAATTTTTATTAATAAATATTGATAATATAATAAGGACTATTATTTAGTATTACATTTATTGATTGTAAAAATTTTCGAAAAATTTCAATTAGATTTAATTTTAGTTCTTATCTAAAATTTTTAGGAGAAATCTAATTTAAAAAGAAGGTTTAGTGCATGTAAACAAATTTTAAATGTACTTTGAAACTACATTCAAACTAAAACAACTAAAACGTTCAAAACTTTATCTTATGGGAAGTGTAATTAAAAACAAAAGTATATTACCCGGCAGGCTTTTACCATAAATTGGTGGAGCCACGTTTCCCAACCATATATTATTTCTTTCACAAAATCCAGGGGGAACTATTTCAAAAATTGAAACAAAATTATTTAAAAAATGTTATCATTAAAGATAAAAATTAAAAATAAATACATAAACTTAAATAAAATATTTTTTAAATACTTTTATTAATATTGCGATTGACAAATTAATTATATTATTTTTGTGGCGTTTCCTGTCAATTTGTTCTTGCTAGTATAATATTTTTAAAGTAATATTTTATTTTAATACTTATCCACAATAGACTTTTTAACTGTTTCTCACATCATGGTTTCAAATGCACAGAATCGCATGAAAAAAATTAACTACAAATATAAATTAAGACAGTAACCTTGAAAAAAACAGTTGTTTACTTAAAATTATTTTTGTTTTTCCATAAAAATGACAAAAAAAACATTATATATATATTTTTTTGTTATTCACCTCCTCACGGCCGAGAAGGCCACTAAAATTTATATACTTTAAAATTTATATACTTTATATATATATATATATATATATATATATATATATATATATATATATATATATATATATATATATATATATATATATATATATATATATATATATATATATATATATATATATATATATATATATATATATATATATATATATATATAGTAGGGCATTAAGCACAAAAAAAAATTTTTTCTATTATAAAAAACTTGTTTGAAAGTATATAAATTTTAGATCTGTTAAAATAAAGCTGCTTTTAATAAGACTTCATTTGCAAAAACTGATTTGCTTCATTTGCAAAAACTGATTGCTATATTTTATTGACCGAAAAATATATCTTGAAGCAAAAATACATTTTTAAGGAGAAGCAATAAAAAACCGTGCAAACATTTTGATAAATCTAAATTTTTTACATTTCACAACAGTTTTTCATAGGAAATTTTTAACAAAAAAGTTCTTAAAAAAATTTGATACTTTTTATATTATACTTTTCATATTTCGCTTTTGTATTTTTATTTATAACCAACCAATATTTTATATTTACATATAAAATATTGGTTGGTATAACATCTCTTAAAGTTTTTTTATTGTGATAGCACAGCTACAATTACAAGTCATAATGGAGGTGTTATTCATTGTTTAGAGGTTTAATTAGTAAAAAAAATGGTGGCTAATAAGTTCTAATTCTAATATTTTTGGCTAATTCTAATATAATTGGCTAATAAGTTATCTTCAAACAAACAAACTTTGTTTTTGGTATTAAATCGAAGAGCTTGATGGGAAGACAACCTCAAAAATAGGATTTTCTGGGCCTATTGGTAAGTTGCTTTTCAAGGTTACTGAAATAGAAAGAAATTAAAGCTTCAAGCTTCAATATCTATAGGCTCTTGTTTAATTAAACTCAATGGGGAAAAAATAAAAGAGTTATATTCAGATCAGAAATATGCATTTAAAAAATGCCAAACAGTAATTTCAGCAACTCTTACTGAAGGTTTAGCAAACCAAAACTCGGCACTATAGTTCATTCAAGGTGGCTCAATACAGGCTCTTCCTTACTTTTATGGTGGAAATGCAAGCATGGGTTAAAGGGAGATGACCTAGGAAACCTATAATTAATTGTTAAGTTTTTTTTCATCAGTATACTTTCCTATGTTGTTTCAAATTAAAGTGAAGCATAGTTGAATAGAAGAGCCATGTCACATCTCGAACCAACTCACCCTTAACAAACTTCAAGATAAAAATGTACAAAAAGTTTTGAAAAATATGTAATATCATCAGCATGGAACTCTCATTCCAAAATCTTTTTGCAGACATTACTTTGTAGCCAAAATAAAATTGAAAAAGAATTTGCTGCTAACAAAATCTTAGAAATTAGAAAAAATGAGGAAATGGGAACTCTAGCTTCTATAACATATAAGTTTCCTCATTTAAACCTGTATGCAACCAAATTGATTGAGTTAACAATATGGGAAAAAGCCTATGAACCCATCTTAACCTGTCAAATGAACATTAATGAGCTAAGAAAATTCTGGATTTTTCTATGATAGTTCCATATTTCCCCGTTCACACACAATGAATTGAAATGGCAGTTAAATAGATTAAATATTTATATATCTATATAAATATAGATAGTTAAATTAAATTTCTCTAACCTCAATAATACATTAGTTGTTAAAAATGTAAAAGTGTTAATAATTTATTAACAACTAATATAATATTTATTTGTGCAAAACCAAAAAATAGACCGATAATGTCGTATTTAACAGCAAGATTGACCTCATTCAATTTTACAATTCTTTTTTAGTACCTTTAAAACCAGGTACACTTACATAAGGGGGTTGGGGGGGAGGGGAGGGGGGAGGTTAGAGGATAGGAAAGAAATGAGGGCTTGAAAACCACTCTAAATATTTTAAACTGTTCTATATTTACATAAAATGATTTTGGTCCACCGCCCTATTTGAGTAAAATTTTTTAAATTTAAGGTCTATTTTGGCAAATATTGCCTTTATTCTGATAAATTTATTTGTCTATTTTTTATGTTACCAATAAGGTGATAATATAACTAGTTATACGCAAAAAGCTGCTTGACTCGCAGCTTTTTGCGTATAACTTAGACAAACCAGCCCCTGCCATTTTGCAGTAAGACAAAAACATAAGACTTGACTATAAAAATATAGAGAATATCTAAATAATAATTAGTCATGAAATTTTGAATAATTTTTAATTATTTTGATAAATTAAATTTGATTTGATTAATTAAGCACCTATAGAGAATTAATTTTTAATATATTTTTAATTTTTGTATATTTTTATTTTATTTGAAACCAGACATGACCTAAATTTAAAATATTGATGATATTGGGGATTCATTAAATGTTTAAGGTTCTTGAAGGACTTATAATATTTCATAAAGCAAATTTCAAATCATAAAAATTTACACAATAAAAATCTTATTTTAACAGTAAACTTCATCCATAAAAGACAACACGCTAAGTTTAGCTTACGGCATGAAGTAGGAGCATTTTTTACATCCATAGAAGTATGCAAATATTACATTTAAAAAAAAAAAAGCATTTAAATGTTTTTATTGCATTTGGCGTACATTAATATTAGGAAGTCATTATTTGTACGCACATACAAATAATGGCTTCCTAATATGAATGTGCAATTCACAAAGTAAAATAAAATAATAAATATAATAAAATAAACAATATACAATTATTAGTAGGCCTACTAATAATTGTAAAAACTTATAGAATTGATAATAGTATTACACTTTAATTATAAGTGTATTTTTAGTATTGTTAGTATTAGTATTATACTAATACAAATGACTGATATTACACTAATACTAATACAAAAACAAGGCGTATCGTTTCACAGGTATGATGATATACTTATACTTATTTTAAGTGCTTCATTATATCTGTGAAACGACATGCCTTGTTTATAACGATTTGTGTATCTATACGCACATCACGAAATAACCATAACTCTGTAATTTTACAAATATATATATATATATATATATATATATATATATATATATATATATATATATAAATATATATATAAATATATATATATATATATATATATATATATATATATATATATATATATATATATATATATATATATATATATATATATATATATTAGGGTGGAGCGATTTTAAAAATTTTCGAAATTTGATTATAAATGAGTTTTAGAGGTTCCTCTTTGGATTCTAAATTTATGACAGATCCTAATATTGTTGAAATTTTTTTTCTTCTAAACTATATTAACCTGGTAATCAAAAGAAGCAGAATAATACGCTTAATTTGAATGTAATATTTGTTTTAATTTAAAACTAAAGAGAAAAAAATAATGTCGTTTTTTTCATTAAAAAACCCCGGTCTTTATCTAAACGGGTGTTTCAAGGTATATTTTTGCAAATATTTTTTTCACTTAAATTTTTTTTTTAATTAAATTATTATTGATAAAACAAGCATTTTTTTCTGCTTTTTTTGAGTCCAAGGTTGATATAATTTAGAAAAAAAAAAATTCTAAAATATTAGGATCCGTCAAGGATTTAGAATCCAAAGAGGAACCTCAAAATCTTATCAAAACCAAAAAATATTTTTTTACTTTCATCTTATAATTAATAGACATCGATTCGTGCCTCAGGAATATTGATTTTTAAACTTTTTTCTTTTGCTATGAAAATCGCTCCACCCTAATATATATACATATACAGGGGCTTTTCTAGGAAAAAAAATGTCCTCAATTTAAAAATTTTCTCAGTCAGTTTAAAAAATGTTTAATATATATCAATGAATACAAATCATCTCAATACTATTTTTTCTATTTAATCTAAACAGCATACCCAAATATATGAATATATATATACATATATATATATATATATATATATATATATATATATATATATATATATATATATATATATATATGAATATATATATATATATATATATATATATATATATATATATAAACACACAAATATATATATATATATATATATATATATATATATATATATATATATATATATATATATATATATATGAATATATATATATATATATATATATATATATATATATATATATATATATATATATATATATATATATAAACACACAAATATATATATATATATATATATATATATATATATATATATATATATATATATATATATATATATATATATATATATATATATATATATATACATATACATATACAGGGGCTATTCAAGGAAAAAAAATGTCCTCAGTCAGTTTAAAAAATGTTTAATATATATCAATGAATACAATTTATCTCAATACTAATTTTTCTATTTAATCTAAAATTTTTACTAGCATTCACTTTAATAAAAAAACTAAAACTTTAATAAAAAAACTTGAATTGAGAGAATTCATATTCATTGATGTTCATATATTAAATTTATTCAATTTTTATATAAGATGTAATCATTTAAAAAATATATATGTATAAATACACTACCGACAATTAACTTGAGACCAGTGGTTAAAAACAGTATTTAAATTTCAAAAATAAAGGTATCTAATTATCATATTTGCACTTCTTTATTTTTGGTTCAAAAATAAATAGAGCACAATAAATAAGTGGATAGAATAGTTTCATCTGTTTCATCTTGTGATCTTAGTGTTGATGGTTATCTTCCTTTAATTCGTAAAGACTCTAATAGTTACATGCTTGGCCTGGGCACTTACATTACATTAAGGAAATTAAAAAAGGAATCCCAATCAGCTTTAGTAGTAAGTAGGGCAACAATATTATGAATCCGTTGTAAAAGAATGACAAGATGAACATTTAGTGGGATAATTGCATATTTTTCAAGCAATACATAAAAAAATTAATTAAGACTAAAGATGCGTTTAGAATCTTTGCAGAGTATTTAAAACATGCAATTTGCAAAGCCCTAACAGAGTGGCTAAGGAAATTCTTTAACTTTATTATTACCCAGGGTCAGGCCCCAAAATCGATGTCTAATCGATGTCAGGCCCCAAAATCGATGTCTAATCACTTATTATACCTCTTGCTAAATCTGATCCGAATAACTACCGTGGTATTAGCATCATTCCAATCTTTACAATTAATAGAATATCTTACTTTAATAATTTGTCTAGAGATAAAAGAAACTTATCCTCTTTAATTTGGTTTTACAAAAAACTGCTCAACCTTACATGCCAAATTTGTTATAAGTGAAACAATAAAACATTACAACAACAACAACTCACCTGTCTATCTCTGTTTCCTAGTTACTGAAAAAGCATTTGATAGCTGTAGCTGGGACATTCTATTTGAAAAACTATATGACAAGAAAAAATTACCGCTTTATATTATTAATATTATATTACCATTATACCATGACAAGGATTAATTCTGTCTCCTCACCTGAAAATATATATACTCAAAGTTTACTTGAAACCATACAAAATGAAAGGGACATCAATCCATGGAAACTACACAGGTGTTTTAGCATACACTGATGACATCATACTTTTTGGCTTTGCCCTGTCTGGGATTAAAAAGCTTATAGCAGCTTGAAATATATATACTATAACACAGAGTTCTTGTTCACCAGAAAAAATCAAATTGCAAACTCAACGATAACAGTCAACCACCAACAAATAAAACAATCAAAACTAGATTCATTAGCAATAAATTAAGAAGTCTTAAAGTGTCTACCAGGTGAGATTAAAATTTATTTAAGCACGGATATTATTGAAATAGATGATCACAATGAAATAAATAATTTTCCTGTTAATTTTTTAAATAGTTTGACTCTATCAAGCATGGATGTTCATTGTTTAAGTTAGAAAAGATATGAACAGGTTTTTTAAGTTTATATAGTTTTTACTAATTTTATTCTTTTAAGAAAACTGTTTATTAATAATGCAAAAAATGACATAAAATGTTACTCGAAATAAAAAGTGTCTCCAAATGCTTGAAAATGTTTTTAAAAATTCTTGTTACAAGATAAAACATGCTAGAACCAAACAGGTTTTTAATCTAAATTTTACATTTTAGCTGTTTTAAATATGTCATTCACAAATTTAATAACTTTTGAATATAAAATTGTTGATTTTTTGTGGACCAAACTTTCAGTTGACCATTAAGTTTAAACAGTTCTCTTTTTAATTTATTTCTAGTAGCATTTACATCCATTGAACTTTTTTGAGTTTTTCAGTTTATTCTAATAAAAATGTGTAGAAAAATTATTAGAAATTAAAATAATATACTTTTATAATTTCTAACAAAATAAATTTCAATAATTAATTACTTTTGTAACAACTTTTTGTAAAGTTTTCATTTTTAGAAACTAGTCACTAACAACATTTAATTTTATTTTTTCTTAAACATAGAAAAATATTTTATGCATATAAAGATATTTTTTAAATATTGTTTTCTTAACACAAATATTGTTTTCTTAACAAGGGCCTAGCAGACTTTTCCAAGACATGCATTTGATAAACTATGATAATGATAATGATAAATTTGATAAATAATGATAAATATAATATCAAGTCATTTAATAGTTTAAATTTTTATTAATAGATATTGATAATATAATAACGACTATTATTTAGTATTACATTTATTAAATGTGAAAATGTTTGAAAAATTCCAACTAGATTTAAATTCAGTTCTAATCCAAAATTTTTAGGACAAATCTTAAATAGACTTTGAAACTATATTCTTTGAAATTTTAAATGTACTTTGAAACTATATTCATATTTATTTAATAAAACATTCAAAACTTTATCTTATGCTAACTGTAATTAAAAACAAAACAATATTACCCAGCTGGCTTTTATCACTAAATGATTGCGCCACATTTCCCATTATTTTTATGGTTTTATTCGGACTTGCAAAGGTCTTTTGATAACAGAGGTCTATTTCAAAGATTAAAAAAAAAATTATGTAAAAAATATTATGATTTAAGATATAAATTAAAAATAAAATACATAAACTTGAACAAAATATTTTTTAAATACTTTCATTAACAAAATAAAAGTATAAACAAAACTTTTATTGACAAATTAATTTGAATTATACCATTTCTTTAAATTTTATGATGACTTTTGCAGTGAATTTTCTTTTGCTGGTATAATATTTTAAAGTAATATTCTATTCTAATACTTATCTGCAATAGACCTCTTAACAGTTTCCATAATTACCTGTGTCGTGGTATAACATATAAACTAAGATACTACTATCTTAGTTTATATAACATATAAACTAAGATAGTAACCTTAAAAGAAACAGTTGTTTACTTAAAATTGTGTTTGTTTTTTCATAAAAAAGATATATATATATATATATATATATATATATATATATATATATATATATATATATATATATATATATATATATATATATATATAATAAATACTTGACCCATGCACAGTGGGACAGAGTGTGCCAAAATACAAAAAAATCACTATCGACATTGTATTCTGAAAATATGTCATAATGGTGAAAATATGTTTATTAGAGGAAAGAATAGTTAAAAAAACATTAAATATTAATTTAACTGTTGTTTTATGCGGTTATATACACATGAATTTGACATGTGTTTCAAAACGCTTTTTTGCATTTTTTAATTATCAACTTTCTTACCCTACAATTGTATTAAGTTAATTTTATTGAGTATGATTTTAAAATATATTATTTGAATTAACTTTGTTTTTTTTGCTCTGGCTATTCAAAACAAGCAAACGTAAGTGTAATCTTCAGTTTTTATGCATCAGTGACAGGCAGTTTTGGCTTTTTTTTTGCTACTAACCTTTACTTTTAGGTATCAGATAAACCGTCCTCCAATATCCTCCAAACATTTGATTATGTAAATCGGATGCTTAATGTATCTTAACTGCAATTTATCATAAATATTTTGCAACTTTTTGCAACTAATAAAGTTATAACAAATAACTCATACTCAATTCATAGTATTTATTGCAAAAACATGTTTTTCATAAGTTCTTAAAACTCAAATATTTTTCATGACTTTATAACTGCAAATTAATTATGCAAGATTTTTTTTACCAAAGGTTTCAATAATAATTATTAGTTATATATATGATACTTGTTGATATGGTATCTTTTTCCCTCCATCCCTCCTCCCCCGCCTTCTTCCTTTTCCTCCTTAAAAAAATATTTTTATAACCTTTTCAGTATATCTAATGCTTTTACATATAGTGTATGCACTAATAATATTTTACAGACACTTGTCCGCAAGATGCAATAACTTCAATTTTGTTTTTAGATGAAATAATTTGATCTTTTCAACTCTTTCAAAGATAATAAAATTTCTATTCAAGATACTGAGAAATCATATATTCATTTGCTAACATTCTTTGAGTTATCTCTTGATCAGAACAATGAAATTGTTTGAAGATCAAAACTTATGAACATTTTAGCACATCCTAAATATCGCTGGAATGTCTGTAAACGCAGAGAATCTTTATTTATTAAAAACAATACTAAATGGCTTGATAATGAAATTAATTTAAATGATTTTGCTGCAGGCAAAATAACCATACCATCAAATTCTCAATCTACTTCCAGCGCTGGTCGACCAACAATTACTGACTTTCAAGAGTGTTCTTCAAGAACTAAGTATCGACGTGTTAATAAACTCAAAAAAAGTCACTCGCCAAATGAGCTAATATTTGCTTCAAAAGTTTCATTAAATAAAGAAGGAAAAATAGAAAAAGCTAAAGCAATCAACAAAATATATTTAGATAAGAATGTAGATTCTTTGATGCTTTCTGGAAATGAAGCATTGTCGTTGATGCTAGATTCAAATATGACCAAAGCTGCGTTTCAACTCCATAGAAATGCAGCAATTGAAAAAAGAATGCAACCTGTATCCTCCATATAACAATATAAAATCATCAAAACTTTTGTGCTACCCTAATAACATGATTTTTACTGACTATACTGCAAGTATACCACTGCAAAGTTTATGTGACCATACAGCTCAAAGACTTTGTCAAGTTCAAAATGAGGTTTAATGAATGCTAGAAACGTTTGACCTGGTATCTCTTCATTATAAAGCAGGTTTTGATGGGTCTACTAGTCAAAGTATATATAAACAAAAAATGTCTGTTGAAAGTTTTCACGACTTGAAAAGAGAAGAATCATTGTTTCTAACTTGCCTGGTTCCACTTCAGATTACAACTTATGTTAGAGAAACCCTAACTGTCATTTGGAGAAATCCAAAACCTTCTTCCACTTTATATTGCCGACCTTTAAGATTTAAATTTGAAAAAGAAACAACTGATTTATTACTTATTAAAGAAGCTACTTTGAAAGACGAGATCTTAAATCTTGTAAAAACTTTTATTCAGTTATCTAATGGCAAGCTGGATGAGCTTCAATATGGATTATCTACACTTCATGCATGGATAAGATTTTTTGAGTGTCTCATACATATTTCATATAAGATACCAATAAAAAAATGGCAAGCAAGAGGAGACGTAGAGAAATCTCTTGTTAAAGAGCAAAAAATGAAGATACAAAAAGAATTTTAACACAAAATGGGACTTATTGTTGACTACCCAAAATGTAAAGGATCTGGAAACTCAAATGACGGCAATACTGCTCGAAAAGCTTTTTCAAATGAAGACTTGTTTGCTGATATTACAGGAATAAACAAGGAACTAATTGTAAAGTTGCATATAATCCTAATTTGTATATCAAGTGGATTTCAAATAGATACTAGTAAGTTTTACTTACTTTGTCTGGAGACCGCAAAACTCTACTCATGCTTGTACCATTGGTATTACATGCCTCTGAGTCTTCACAAGATCTTAATTCATGGAGCAGAAGTAATAGAAAATCTATTCTTACCAATAGGTCTATTTAGTGAAGAAGCTCAAAAAGCTAGAAATAAAGAACTTAGAAAATATAGGGAACATCATTCCTGTAAAAATTCAAGAACAAAGACAAACGAAGATGTAATGAAAAGACTTTTATGTACATCTGATCCAGTTATTTCATCTAATAGAAAAACTGTTTCATCTGTAAAAAAGAAATTTCCTCCGGGTGTTGTTGAACTTTTTATTTGCGAGAATTCTACGTTCTAGAATATAGATCTAGTTCGTAATTTTTAATGGTAATTAAACTTAAAAATAAACTTTTTTAGCAATATATATGAGCTTGATATTCATTTTAGATGGTTTGTATAAATAGTTTATAACAGTTCTAATGAAAAAAATTTAAAATAATTTTGGCACAAAAAACGCGATTTTATCCCACTGTGCCATGGTATAAATTTGCTTGAAAGTATATAAATTTAAGATCTGTTAAATATAAAGGTTCTATTAATAAGTCTTCATTTGCAAAAATTGATTTATTCCTATACTTTATAGAAAATTATCTTGAAGCGTTAATACATTTTTATGTATTTTTATGCAATAAAAAACGATTTAACCTTCTTAATAAAATAAAAAATTTTCCTAAAGTATGATATTTTTTTGTATTACATTATTTCATATTTTTCTTTTATATTTTTATTTAAATTAAACCCACTGATATTATATGGTTGAAGTAAAAGAGATTTACAACGAGTTGTATAAAAACAAGTTAAAAGACAAGCATCATTATGTCTGATTTAATCAGTATACAATTTTTGAGAACATAATTGTTTTCTTTTTAAGTTACATATGATATTTCATTACTATAAAATTATTTTAATAATATTATAAATATTAATTCATGAATAACACATTTTCTTTTAAAAAGAAAATGTGTTATTTTTGATGTCAATTGTTATTGATCAACAATAACAATTGACATCAAAAACATAACATAGACAAATATTATTTTTTAAATATTATAATCTAATATATTATACTCGTCTTATATCTTAATATAATAATATCGGTATACTGTTAATAAAACATTATTTTATAATAATAACAATAATAATGATAATAATATGATAAAAAATAACCTTAAGGAAAAAGAGAAGACTTTATTCCATCTGAGCTACCAACTCTTTGAGCGGTTTTTCCAAAAGCTATACTCATTAAAGAGTTGTAAGAAAAGAAAGTATATCCATTAGATGATTTGGTTAGGGAAATAAGATTTGAAGTTGTTAAATAATGGAAAAAAGTAAAGTAGATTTTTCATCTACAGTTACTTTTACAGATAAGCCCATTTTGAGAAAGATCAAAAAAGTTTATGATGATCTTAAAGATATTTGCAGAAAAAGATTACCAAAAAAATTAACCAAAAAAAAAAAGATTAACCAAAAGAAATTGATAAAATAATGAAGTCTATGTCACTACCGTTGATATAACTAACTGCAAATGTGCAATTTTATTCTATAATGAATCAAGTTGTCTGAGAAATAAATATATTCCGAAAAAAAAGTTCATATTGATTGTCAATGTGAAAAATCAGTGAGAATTTCTATAACAGAATTAAAATTTATTTACTCGCAGAGTAATAAATTTTTATTAAAATTTTTGATTTTTATAAAAAATCAAAAATTAAGCCTGCTAAACATACAGCAAATAAAATATTTCAATGGTCTATTTTGCATGGTGTTGAACATAGATTAAAGTTCATTGGTTTTGATAGCACAACTACAAATACAAGTCATAATGGAGGTGTTGTTCATTATTTGAAGATTAGATTAGAAATATAGGGTGGCTAATATGTCCTCTTCACACAAACAAACTTTGTGTTTAGATTTAAATTGAAGAGCTTGATGGGAAGACAACCTCAAAAACAGGGTTTTCTGTGTCTATTGGTAAGTTGCTTTTCAAGGTTACTGAAATGGAAAGAAATTAAAGTTGAAAGCCACTATCTATAGGTCTTGGTTTAATAGAACTGGATAAGGAAATAATAAAAGAGATCTTTAGATCAGAAATATGCATATAAAAAATGCCAGACAATAATTTCAACAACTCTTACAAAGGTTTGGCAAACCAAAAACTAGGCACTATAGTTTATTTAAGGTGGCTCAATACAGGCTCTTTCTTACTTTTATTGTGGAAAAGCAAGAATGGGTTAGAAAAAGATGACCTAAGAAACCTATAATTAATTGTTAAAGTTCTTGTATCAGTATACTACTTTATGTTATTCCAAATCAAAGTGAAGCATAGCTGGATAGAAGGGCCATGTCACATTTTGAACTAACTCACCATTATCAAACTTCAAAATAAAAATGAACAAAAGGTTATTGAAAAAAATTTACATCATCAACATAGAACTATCATTCTGAAATCTTATTGCAGATATTACTTTGCAGCCAATATAAAATTGAAAGAGAATTTGCTTTTAACAAAATTTTTGAAATTAGAAATAATGAGGAAATGGGAACTCTAGCTCCTAGAACATAAAAGTTTTCTTATTTAAACCTGTTTGCAACCAAATTGATTGAGTTAATAACACGGGTAGAGGCCTATGAACAAGCTGTCAGATGAACATTAGAGAACTGAAAAAATCTGTATTTTTCTATGATAGTTCCGTATTTCCCTGTTCACACACAAGGAATTGAGAGGGCAGTTAAAGAGATAAAATTAACTTTATCTAACCTCAATAATATATTAGTTGTTGAAAATGTAAAAAAGTTATTCATTTTTAACAACTAATATATTATTTATTTATACAAAAATGTATCAGTGTCACTATCTTCAAAACAAGACTATAACTAAAGGTAACCAGCAATGTATAATAAAGCCATTTTAACAACATTTTAACAAGCCATTTTAAGCTAGATTCTAATATCCTCAAATAATCAAATAGTTTAATTTCATTTTGCATTAACTGCCTCAACGACCAACAACGACCAACATCAAGTTTATGAAAGTCTAAACTATATTTTAGAAGTAGTTTTGAGCATTTAATTTTAGTTTTGTTGAACCATAATAAAATATGCACCACCAGCACCCTGACACAACTTACTAAAAGTTTATTCAACAGGGTCAAATGTAAATTCACCAAGCTTTACAAATTTGTGTGATGTTTTCTAACAAATATTTAATTTAACTAACCTTTTAAATGTATAGGATATTGCTTTGGATGTTTCGAGAATCAGTGTTTTATATATTTTGTTCCTGTAATGGCAATTCAGATCTTTAAACATTTTTGAAAAAGAAATTTGTTGCAGGCAAAGATCATCAGGTGATACAATGACAAAACACAATGGGTCTTCTAACCTTTTATCATCATCATGTTTGTAAACAATAATAATTTTCCTGGCATCAATAAACATTTTAAAACAACAAAACAGTTCCTTTAAAATTGATTTGGATGACATTAGGATGTGTTAATAATGCAGAAAGAGTTTCTTCACAAAAAAAATCTCAAACAGAAAGAAACATTTTGTCACTCAACAGGCTTTGGAAAATTTGTCACAAATGTATTACAATTACAAATAAATAGTGTTGAAAATTTCCACAAAATTTCGGGAAACTTTCAACCATAATATTTTGCAAAACAAGTAACAGAAGAAATAAGAAAAAAACAAATTAATAGTTTGTTTGTTCTGATACTTGCTCCGTAAATTATTAGATTAAAAAATTTCCGGAAATTTTGCAGAAACTTTTAACACTACAAATAAATACATAAACTTGAATAAAATGTTTTTAACATATACTTTTATTATTTTTTATGTTTGAAAAATTAATTTGAATTTTACCATATGAAGAGACATCATCATAGATCTCAGCTAAAAATAATGGGAAACATAACTAAATATGCTAAAAAAGTTATTTAAGTTAAAGTAAAACATATTATTAACTATAGAGAATAAAAAAATAGAAAAATAAATATAAAACATATTATTTAACAAAGTCAAAACTTTTTGTAGAAATGAGATGTCAAAGGTTAGGTAATTAAATAACCAAAAACTTTTGTTCTCAAAAAAGCTGTTCCTTTAAAAAAGTTAAAAGAGTTTATGCAGTTAGAAATAGCACTCACCCTGAAGGAAGAAAAACAAAAAGTTAAGTGAGGATTATATTCACACTGTCAAGATGAAACAAAAGCATCCATGCTTTTACAAATTTAGGATGTTTTAATCGAGATGCTATCTTGGACAGAGAGACAAATATAATCAGCCCAAAAAATTAAAAAAGGAATCCCAGTCAACCTCTGTAGTAATTATGGTAATAATATGGTGAATCTGTGGTAAAAGTCTGTTGAATGTCAGGTCTCGTTATCCTGCTACTGGCAACACAGTGGCGTGCTGGCTCCAGAGGCTATTCGAGAATCCCACTTGGGATTATCACTATTTATCTTAAAAGGGCCTTTATTTTGAATTTTTATACTCTTTACTATTACACTCTAAGCAATAGTTTCTTAAGGTCATCCCACGATGCATCAACAACAAAATTATCATCATTTTCCTTTAACTCTATTTCTTAAGTTTATTAACAAGTCCAATTATTTCTTATGTTTTTCCATATATAAACAGAATCATAAAGTAAAAAAATTTGCATCTTTAGTCAACCATGAAAATTACATCTTTAGTCAACCATGATTTATCTACAACATTTTCAAAAAGAGAGAAAAACTGAACATTGATTTTATTATTGTCACATAGACCTGCAATGCAGCTTACATTTGCATTAGAAATTGATCTAAGTATAGAATTAACTACTTCATACTCAAAATCTGAGTGAAGACAACATATTGGAATCACACAAACTATAAAAGTTGATCCACCTAAAAAACAAATTTAACTATAACAGCTAATATTGTTTTTGCTGATTTGTTTGGTTGATAAACTGATTTTCCAAAAAGGTTCTCCACTATGTTAAGTTAATGAAGCTTTAACATCTACTTTAACATCTTCTACTATCAAGTTTATGAAAGTCTATTTTAAAAGTAGTTTTGAGCATTTAATTTTAGTTTTGTTGAACCATAATAAAATATGCACCACCAGCACCCTGACACAACTTACTAAAAGTTTATTCAATAGGGTCAAATGTAAATTCACCAAGCTTTACAAATTTGTGTGATGTTTTTAACAAATATTTAATTAAACTAACCTTTTAAATGTATAGGCTATTTTTTTTTTTTTTTATTTTAGTTCACCTCCTCAAGGCTGAGAAGGCCACTACAGACGAGGAGGCTACTTATTTGTGGTTATAACCCTCTCTCAACTCTATAACTCCGAAACACGAACCTTGACGAGCAAGGCCGCTGCGCGGAGAAACGAGTTGAGCGCGGTACTACCAGGGACGTGGTGGGGATCGAACTCGGAACCACTCGTTTATGAAGCGAGCGCTCTACACCACTACCGCATTATTGCTTTGGATGTTTCAAAAATCAGTGTTTTATATATTTTGTTCCCATAATGGCAATTCAGATCTTCAAACATTTTTAAAAAAGAAATTTGTTGCAGGCAAAGATCATCAGGTAATTCAATGACAGAACACAATGGGTCTCTTAACCTTTTATCATCATCAGGTTTGTGAACATTAATAATTTTCCTGGCATCATAAAACATTTTAAAAAACAAAACAGTTCCTTTAAAATTGATTTGGATGATATTAGGATGTGATGATAATGCAGAAAGAGTTTCTTCACAAAAAAATCTCAAACAGAAAGAAACATTTTTTCACTCAACAGGCTTTGGAAAAATTGTCACAAATGTATTAATCCACTATGTTAAGTTAATGAAGCTTTAATATCTACTATCAAGTTTATGAAAGTCTAAACGTGAAGTTTATGAAAGTCTAATTTTATCTCCACTATGTTAAGTTAATGAAGCTTTAACATACACTTCATCTACTATTAAAACACACCGTCGTTGGCGTTTTGTAAGTTTGCTAAATACACATAGAACAAATTCACCATTGTTCACCTTACAAGCTTTTAATTTCAATTTTAGTAGAGTAAAAACACTGGGAAGCTGATATTCATTTTTGATGTTTGTATCAAGTGCTCTTGAAACAGCAAAATATTCAAAAGCACAAACTATAGAATGCAATGTATCACCAAAACTTTTTCATAGATAATAAACTGTCTGTAAGAACTTGTTTTTTTTCTCAATAGTTTGAAATTAGTCAAATATCTTTTAGCTTCAACCAAACTCAACCATTTATTTAACATAGCTACATAGTTTTTGACAAACTTAATACATAATATAAGCACACACAATGTTATGTTTTAATTTGTAAAGAAACATTGAGTATAAACCTAATAAAAAATGAAGATAAATAAATCGACAAAAAATTTTTTTTTAACAATTTTACTAACTTTAACAAAATTATCTTGGTAAATCAAAGTAAAAATCAATAGGTTGAAAGTTTTTTTATCTCATTCATATACAACTAATAATTTTAGTAAATCTTTAAGTATTTTTTTTAAGCTTATTATAATGCAAATTTTCCATCACTGTAAAAGTTGATCAGCTTGTACATTTCATGCACTGGAAATTGCTGAAGATATAGTCCTTAATTTTGGTGGTGCAGTTGGTACAAGGCTGGACTTAACACAATGAATTTTTAGCACAAACAACAGTTTAGCACAAACAACATTAGTTATATTTGGTATTAGGAATGTTACTTCTTGGATTAGCATATAGCCACTTTTTGCATTTTTCCGGTAAACTGTTAAAACCACATTTTTTTGTGTCAGTTCAATAATTAGTAGAGCAATTAGTAACACAACGTTTCAAAGACATAATAAGTTTTGTCTTACAAAACAATTTATTTTTGTTAACACTAAGAAAGTCTACATAGACTGCACAAACTAACTTTGGTAAATTCTTCTGGTAAAAAGTTTAGTAAAATCTTCTTTAATTCTTTGGTAAAAGTTTTGTAAAGTCTTTTGAAAACTTGGCCTTTAATTTTTTTTATGGATTACACGTTAATAGGCTTTGATTTCAGATAGTCGTGATATAGATGATACAATAAGAAATATTATTTAGCATTACATTTGTCGATTGCAAAAATAATTAAAACTATCTTACTTAAATAACTTTAATTATTATTAATATCAAATTAAAAAAATAAATATAGTACCCAACTCGCTGAAGTTGAATACAAATCTTTTTGTTCCAGCAGGACCAATAAAAGAATCAAAGACTTTTGTTCTCCAAAAAGCTTTTAAAAAAGTTCAAAGAATTTATGCTGTTAATAAATAGTACCTACCCTTAAGATAGATAAGTGAAAAGGTAAGTGAGCTTTTTATTTACACTGTCAAGATAAAACAAAAAACATCAATGCTTTTACAAATCTAAGATATTTTAAACAAGATGCTAACTTTCACAGAGAGACAAATATCATCAGCCCAAGGAAATTAAAAAAGAAATCCAAGTCAGCCTCAGCAATAAATAGAGCAATAATATGGTGAATCTATTGTAAAAGAATCACAAGATGAAAATTTAGTGGAATAATGGCATACTTAGAACTACCTAAATCACAACAAGTAATAACTGAACATAAGATAGGATCAGTGTTAAGTCAAAAATTATTACGGATTACACATTAAGAGACCTTGGTTTCAGATAGTCGTGATATTGATGATACAATAAGAAACAATGTTTTAGTATTACATTTGTCGATTGCAAAAAAAAAAATTTATTTAATATAGATAACTCTAATTATTAATGTCAAATTAAAAATATATATATAGTACCCAGCTCGCTGAAGTTGCACTCAAATCTTTTTGTTCCAGCCGAACCTGCAACTTGGTCTACATTAAAAAATAAAATAAAAAGTTGATTAAAAATTATCATCACTAAAGTTATCAATTACAAATAAATACGTAAACTTGAATAAAATGTTTTTAACATATACTTTCATTATTTTTTTATGTTTGAAAAATTTATTTGAATTTTACCATATACAGAGACATCATCATAGACCTCATCTAAAAATAATAGGAAACGTAACTAAATATGCTAAAAAGGTTATTTAAGTTAAAGTAAAACACTTTATCAACTATAGAGAATAAAAAAATGGAAAAATAAATATAAAACATATTTTTTAACAAAGTCAAAACTTTTTGTAGAAATGAGATGTCAAAGGTCAGCTAATTAAAGAACCAAAGACTTTTTTTCTCCAAAAAGCTCTTTTAAAAAAGTTGAAAGAATTTATGCGGTTAGAAATAGCACTCATCCTGAAGGAAGAAAAACAAAAAGTTAAGTGAGGATTATATTCACACTGTCAAGATGAAACAAAAGCATCCATGCCTTTACAAATTTAGGATGTTTTAATCAAGATGCTATCTTGGGCAGAGAGACAAATATAATCAGCCCAAAAAATTAAAAAAGAAATCCGAGTCAACCTCTGTAGTAATTATGGTAATAATATGGTGAATCTGTGGTAAAAGTCTGTTGAATGTCAGGTCTGGTTATCCTGTTACTGGTAACACAGTGGCGTGCTAGCTCCAGAGGCTATTCGAGAATCCCACTTGGGCTTATCGCTATTTATCTTAGAAGGGCCTTTTTTTTTAATTTTCATACTCTTTACTACATTTTGAAAATGATTTACAAATGATATTTATATGCTTTATTTTTAATTCCACAATTTAAATTCTTTAAAAAATCTCTGATTGGAATTGTTGGACTTCAAGCGCATATATATTAGTATTTTGCATAACAAAATGCAACCGCTTGTAACTTTTGCCTCAAAACAAAGTCGATATTGGAAAAAATAATTGATCGTTATGTTACTTAAATCGCTTATTATATCAGTCATTATATAGATAAATTTATTTAAGTTTATATTATTTATATAGAAAAAATTATTCAAGCCGATGATTATTGTGAGAAATAATTGTGTTCAATTTTAATTTATGGAAAAATATTCATATTGATAAAATTTTTGTTAAATTAGAACGATTAATTGTTTTTTCCTAAACAAAAATTTAAACGTTTTTAAATATAAATAATTTGTATGAGTTATATTTGCTCTTATTGTATGTACTACTGCTATTTAAAAAGTATTAAAATATTTTTTATATATATACTCATAAATAAAAAAAGCATTTTATTTCTATTTGAAAGTATTCCGGATTCATTCATTTCAGGTACTGTAAATACATTGAAACTAATGTTTAATGTTATAAACTTTAGTAACCACTTTTTTTTTCAAAGAACATAAAAACCGTGTTTGTTGTAATTATAGCTTCTTTTTTTTTTAAATTTGAAATAGAATGGAAAATCTTGAAAATTTTATACATTCAATTTGAATTTCAAGTTGATAAGATCGTAAGGACTTCTTGGGGCGCAAAAAAAAAAAAAATTGTTGTATCATTGTTTTTGTATTGCAAATAAACATAAACAAAATATATACTTTTTATATAATAAACAATATATATATATATATATATATATATATATATATATATATATATATATATATATATATATACAATTTTTTTAAACAATAAAGTGGAAATTGAGGCATTTTTGCAAAATACAGAAAAAAGAGCCCTTAATAAAGCCTTTGTTAATTCATTCCAACCAATAACTTACAAAAGATATGTATATGATACCCATGCTCGCTTCGATTCGAAAGAAAAACAAGAACACTTTTGCTTAAAACTTTAAATGAACAAACTTCCTCCATAAAATATACTGTTGAACTTGAAAACGAAAGAAAATAACTAAACTTTTGAGATATTTCTATTACAAATACAATGAACGGATTTTATGAATTTCAAGTACACCGTAAGGATGCGATAACCAATGTTCAAATAAAACCAAACTCTAACATCAACCCAAGCATAATCACTGGCGCCTTTAAAGGATTTCTATGTAGAGCAAAACAAATCTGCTCTAAAAAACATCTCTCACAAGAAATCTGTTTCCTCATAAATACATTCTTTCAAAACAGTTATAACAAAAGTTATAATCTTATTAAAATAACCAAAAACTATTTAGACCGCATTTCAAAAAATACACTATCTAAACAATTGGATAAGCAATTTGTTAAACTACCTTGTATACCTATTATTAGCCCTAAACTCCAACGAGAATTTAGAAAACAAAACATCAGAGTTATATTTACTTCAGCCCCCAATTTAAATAACATACTATGCAATAACAAAACAAAACTACCTCCGAACTCAAATCCGGGTGATTACAAGCTTCAATGCTCATGCGGAAGTATATATATTGGTGAGACCAAAAAGAAAATCTCTTCAAAAAGTGCGGAACACCAAAGAGCCTGTAAAAATCAAAAATGGTCGAGTTCAGGAGCCACGGAACATTCTAGAACATGCCATGGTACTTTTGATTGGTTGAATCCTAAGACCTCGGCAAACATTCCAGAATACAATATAAGAAAAGTTAGCGAATCCTTGGAGATAAATAAAGCATAAGTTCGACACAAGATAGGTATTGGGCAAACTTCTCTAAATAGAGATGACAGGGATAATGTGAAAACAAAAACTTGGGGACCAATTTTGACAAAAATTTAACTGACGTCACTTTTATATTATTTGATTGGTTTTTATATTTTACGCTTTTTAATGTCTTCTTTTTTAAACGATTGGTTTTTTGTTATTTTGTAACATTTTTTGATTACCTGATGATAAATATATATATACATATATATATATATATATATATATATATATATATATATTTGCTTTTTTGAGCCAGCATGCCCCTGTGGTAACATGTACCCAGTACAACCAACTTTATGTCCTGCTGCCTTGTAAGAGACACTTTTTTAGGCAAAGGCTAAGAGAAGCCGACTCCGACATAAAACACCCCTCTGCCTTTGGGCTCTTGGTTTAGAGGTGGTGTCTAGATAAAAATACTCATCTTAGGCAGATGTTAAACGCATCCGGCTGCTGTCTTGTAGTAGGTTTCCTAGGCCAAGACTTAAGGGGTAAACAGATTCTACCTGTTGACCAGTCTCGCACCCCTTCTATATCTATTAGGCTGATGCTGATGTATTTTTAATACATTGTTTCCAGTTTAGGATGTTAAGGCCACATTTGGAGCCTTTTTTACGGATTGAGGATTATTAATAATAATGAGGCGATTGCTTAGACTATTAAATAGTGTACTGAGTACTATATATGCTTTGAGTCAAGCTCATTTAAAAATTTAAAATGACTAAAGTACCAAAAACTATAAAACACAAAAAACTTCATCATCATGTTCTCTAAACCTATCAATCAATGTCTTTTTTCTGATCCTAGTCAGTGCTCAGTTTCTGCAAAGACACTCTTAGGTGCTTCTGATCACAGTTTGATCTCTTTAAAACTATTACCTCATTCTTCTTTATCATCAGAATCCCCACAAAACCATTTGAAAAATTTGTTTGTTGTCTCCTGCGCTTCTTCACTCATCATTTTAATTGGCAGTGACATTCTATTTATGATGACTGGGCCGTGGATCAGCAGTTTGGTTGATCAACAACAAGGCCCATCTGTTGAAGAAAAACTTGTTGGATGTAAGACTTTTTTTCAGCAACTTGTGCTTTGACTTCTGCTGTTCTTCCTTGCCACTTTTTGATAGGCAACTTGTAACTAATATGCAGAAAACATTCAAAACATCGAATCCAGCAATGCAGTGTAGATAAACCATACTGCAAGCCTTTAGCCTGGTAATTTCTTATGCTGGCATCAATGTTGTTTATCTCTTTTGGTGAGCATCCACAGATAGAACAACACTGACTTAAGTTAGTGACCTCAGAAAAAGCTGTGTGTACTTTTCCATCAATCATTGTTATTTCAATCCCATGCTTTACTTGAAGTTCTTTTCCATTGTTTAATATACTTTTTGTACAATTTAAATTCCTTATTTCTTCTTTTAGTTGAGCTTCTTCAGAGATTATAATATCTTTAGACTTTTTTTCAAACTGAAAACGCAAAGGGCGACAATACAGAGTTGATGATGGTTTTGGGTTTCACCACAAAGTTGTCTTTTTTCCACCAGCAAATGAGCTCAAGTCAAGTGGTACTATGCAAGTTAAAAACAATGACTCTTCTATTTGTATATTATGGATACCATCTTTAGACACTGTCTACTTATAAACACTTTGTCCTGTTGAGCCATCCTGCCTTGTGTCTTAAAGTAGCAAATATGGTTGTATCACCAGCAATTGTTTAAATAACTTCATTCTGTACTTGACATACTCTTTGTGCAGTGTAGTCGACCAAGCTCTGCATTGAGATTTTAGCAAAATAATCATCTCTCTCTATTTCATTTGGATCGCAAGATAATTTTGCTGCCTTTATTTTGTGATATGAAGGATAAAGTTCACAGTTTTTTTCATTTGGATGTAGTTGATATCCATCTTTGGTCATATTTGTATCTAAAAGTAAAGCTAGAGCCTCATTGCCAGATAGTTGTTGAGATATTTTGTTACTATTGTCAAAAATATTCTTTACAGCATGTACCTCATCAAATTTATTTTTAAGAGAAACATTTGCTGTAAAAAGTAGTTCAATAGATGAATGCCCATGTTGTAGATAGTTGGTACGCCAGTACTTTGATCAAAGTGAACAGTCATTAAAATTCTCAATTGAAGGCCTGCCACGTGTTACTTTATCTTGTTTCACAGGAATATCAGTAAAAACATCAATCTCTGTCTGTAGTCACTCTTTATGCTTTTTTTCAAAACAAATACGGTTACTTTTTAAGTCCTGCCATCTCTTTCTTATATGAATTAGCAATGTATCCAGCTTAGGGTTAGGGTTTACCAGTTTACCATAAAATAATTTACCGGTACGTGCATGTAAGGCATCTGTGCACAAGATGACTCTTTTCTCTATGAGCTCCTGTTTGGTAAATGTCATTCTTGTTTACTACATCATTTTTACTATCTGAAGCTTTGACTTCGCTATATTCATTTTCATTGTTGTTATTCATAAAAGCCATTCGACATAAGCCAGAATCTATCAAATAT